GAGTCGCGGGGAATTACCTGCTGAATCTCACACCAACTTCGGGACACGGAGGATTTAATGTGGGTGGGGGGCCCCTTGCTTGGTGGCCGATGAGAGAGGCCTCTGGGCTTGGATGCCGCCTCTGCCGTTGCACCTGTGTGTCCACCGGGGAGCGAGGAGGGGACGGGATTGAGTTCGCTCATCACTGCAGGGTGTGCAGGACGGAATCTGAACACAGCCGTGAGCCTGGAATACACTGATGGTGAAGATAAGCTCACAGCATCCCCGGCTGCACACAGAAACAGAATCGAGATATCGTCCAGACACGGAGACCACGCTGGGCCTGAAAGTGGGCTTCTCTGGGGGGCACTGCTGTCTGCCGGAGCTCAGATGGGGGGAGGGGCGTGGTGAGAAAAGGCACCCGCCCAGGTCCGGAGGGAGTGGCCTGCCGGGCATGGAGAGAGGACCGCGCCCACACCGAGGGTCTCTGACGCTGAGCCGAGGGCGTGGCTCTTACCTGGCAGTCTGTGGAGAGCCAAGGACACCCAGAGGAGGAAATGCTTGGTGGGCGGCTCCGGGCCGCGGGTTTGTGGTGGTGGCCGCCCCCAGGGGGCCAGAGCTCGTGCCGGGGCCAGCCTGAGCCCGCCTGCCTGGAGGCACCGAGAGTCCCAGCACAGCATACCGAGGGCCGAGGCCAGGCGTGGTCCAGCCCCGGCCAGGGTCTTCACTCGCTGGTGCCCTTGACCGGTTGCTCACCTCTGACACTGTTCCCTTATCTGAAAAGGAAGACGACGGCGTCCATCCTGGAAAAGGCACGTCCATCTCTAAGGGAGCAGGCGGTGAGGCCAGAGTCTGAGGTTGGTCCCAGGGCCAGCACGGGGACCCCCCAGCTGCCTTTGCTAGCATCCAGCAGTCGCCCCTGGTCCCTGGCCTGCAGCCCCTCCCCCATCCCCAGACCCAACCTGTGACACTCACTCCACCTGGCCCTGCCACATCACAGGGATGCGTTAGACTCCTGGTTGGCTGGGGTCGGTTCCCCCTCTCCAATGTGTAACTGAATCCCACCAGGAAGTCCTCTGGCGTGTCACGTGCTGTTCACGTGCCGTTCACGTGCCGTTCTCGTGTGGTGACTGGGATGAGTGTCTCCAGGAGCCAGTCCTCAGCCTGCACGGTGACCACAGACGATGGCCCTCTGTGGAGTGTGCGTGAGCCCAGGAAATCTCTACCGTCACTGACACACGTGTGTTGATGTATCTATAAAACCATGCACTGCGCACACATGTTTATCCGTGGGGGGTGTGGGTAAGGTTACTCTGACAGAGGTATTTCAAAAGGCTTCTGGAAAAATAGAATTGAAGATGTATTTATGTTGGTGCAAAAAGCTTTTAAAATCCACGGGCTTGGATTCAGGGATTTAAAGGTGTTTTGTGCCAAGCTGAATGTCACTTGTCTGATACCTTCCAGAAGAATCCTCGTACGTCTGCAAAGCGGTGGGGACGGTGGGAAGGGGCTGTGGAACCGAGCGGGAGTTGTGCTTCCTGCTCTTACCTCGTGTGCGAGGCTGATAAGTCGTGCTTAGACCGCAGGGCGCTGCTGGGTCGGGAGGGAGGGGCGGCTGACGTGCAGGCAGGCGTGGACAGACCTCATCCTGAGAGGCAGGGGTGGCTGGACGTGGGGAGCGCGTCCTGGTGGGCTCTGTGTCCTGAGGGAAGAGCGAGGCAGCAGCCGAGGCCCTTGATGGGTGACAGGCTTGGCACATGGCAGGCTCGGCGTGTGGCAGGCTCGGTGCGTGGCAGGCTCGGCGCGTGGCAGGCTCGGCAGGTGGCAGGCTCGGCGTGTGGCAGGCTCGACTCGTGGCAGGCTCAGTGCGTGGCAGGCCCGGCCCCTCCTGCTGCACTTTGCCGGGCAGCCCTTGGTGCAGAGTGCAGGAGCGAGCATGTGGCGCGAGCTCTGGACGTTTTTATCTCATTTTACTGGAAAGGCAGATGGAGACGGAGCTCCCCCACCCCCGTGTCTGCTCCCCAAATGCCCACAGCAGCCAGGACCGGGCCAGGCTGGAGCCAGGAACCCGGAACTCAGCGAGGTGGCCCCTGTGGGTGGCAGGGGCCTAAGCCCCATCGCCATGACCGCAGCCTCCCAGGGTGTGCAGCAGCAGGAAGCTGCATGTGCGGGGTGTGTGTGTGTGTGTGTGCCCCGAGGGCGGCTTCCCCGCTGAGCCGCAGGCCCACGCCAGCACACAGAGGGGCAGATTCCAGGCGCACGCACGGACAGGGCATCTGTGAAGGGGACCCGAGAGGCCGCTGTCCTCACGTGACGATCGGGGGACCTCGGCTCGCCTGTCTTCCCTGGGTACAGCAGGGGGTCCAGGCCGTGACCTGAGCACGTGTCCTAGCTGCACAGTAGGCGCGTGTCCCCACGTAGCAGGGCTCAGATGTCCAGCGGACCTCAGTGTCCAGCCCTGATGCTTAACCATCGGCATCTGTGTGGCTTTGGCCACTTTTGGAGGGATGGCGAGCTGACGTGGGGCGGGCAGTGAGATGCCCGTTCAACCCTCAGGGGCACCGCTAACCAGCGCCGCTCTCTGAGGACCCTCCGCAAGGAGAGACCCCGTCCCCAGTGCCCACTGTGAGAGGACAGGACGGGGGTGCTGATCACGGGGGCGCGGCGGTGGTGGGGGCCGGGGAAACCCTGTGGCGGAAACAGACTCTGCTGTTCCTACACACAGGCACTGTCCGTGTGTCGTGCTCGTGTGGTTGTTGGCCTGGTGTTCACCGAGTGGCTGGCATTTGCCAGGTGCTCCCCTGAAGACGAGGGGGCAGAAGGCCCACGCCTGCTCCACTCCTGGCTGGAGCCCCCCAGGGCGGGCGGGGTTGGGTCAGAGCGCCAGGTCCTGTGACGGGGGACACAGGGGAGAGCGGCACAGGAGGAGGGAACGGAACCCACGAAGACGCGGTCGGGCGAAGCGGCCCTGAGAAAGGACGGCAGGAGGCGGCTGGGGCGACTCGGGCAGCCGTCAGGAAGCAGGGACTCGCGGCCACCCGTGTGCTCGTGGGTGGGCTCCCGCGTGAAGAGCCAGGAGCAGAGAAATTAGAGAAGGAGACAGCAGGAGTGGTCTCCAGGGGGCCACGTGGGCAGCCGCTGCAGGGCCTCCCATTGCAGCTCCGGCATGCGGGTTATGCAAAGGAAATGCACATAGGGTGAGCCCTGGGGAGCCTGCGGCTCACCTCGCACTGCACAGGCCTTGCTCTTAGCCCAGGCTGGTCGGGGAGGGGCGGGGCGGGCGGGGCCCAGAGCTCTCCACTCAGCCCTTGCGTGGGAGCAGCTTCACAGCCGGCAGAGTGGGCCCCGGTCCTCTGGTCAGCCACCTCCTCCTGCAGAGAGGTCGCACATGGCCTCGCAGGCCACAGGGGAGAAAGGAACGAAAAGGCAATTATTTCTATTTCCAAGCAAAAAATGGGTGAAATTGTATGAGAGGTCTTTGGAAAGCTCACGGAAATGAATGTTTTGCAAAAATGTGCATAGATTTTTTTATAAAAAAGGTTTCAGTATGAAAGGCAGAGGGACACACGCATGCACGGAGAGATGGCTTCCTCCCCAGACGCCCGTAGCACACAGGGTTGAGCCACAAGAACCACGGCCAGGAGCCAGGAGTTCCATCCGGGTCTCCCACATGGGAGGCAGGAACCTATGTGCTTGAATTCTCTGCCACCTCCCAGGCTCATTAGCAGGAAGTGGAGGAGCCGGGCCTTGAACTGGTGCTCTAACATGGGATGCAGGTGCACCCGGTGGAGGCTCAACCCCGGCCCATGACGCTCACCCCGGGAGCATAGATTTGAAGACACTTCTGCGGTGAGATGAGCCCACCCTTTAACTGTTCCCCACGGACTCTGCGAGGTGCTGTGTGTGCAAGCCAGAGGCGGGCCCGGCTCCGAGTGTTTGGGGCTCCCACCTGCTCACCCTGTGCAGCCCGGTCTGGAGCAGAGAGCACACACTTGTGTGGCCTCACCTGGTCCCACCGACAGGCCAGCAGTGCAGCGAGGGCCACGGGGGCTCCGATGGCAGGAGAACCAGGACAGCGACATGCAGGGCCTGGCAGACCGCCGGGGCTCGGCCTGCGATGCTAGCGGTCGGGAGCCACTCAGATTGGCTCTGAGTCCCATGGGCTGTGTGCTCGCATCACAGGACCTCTGTTTGCTTTCAGATAACCTTGTGGATTGTTTTTCTGCCTTAGAGAGAGGCGGACTCAGGACAAGAAAGCGTCCTCCAGTCACTGGGATTCGTAGCTGTGCCGGGTGTGGATACTGACAGTAGGCGCTGTCCTGGGTTCCTGGGTTTGTAGGGTCCAGTGTGCACAAGGGGCGTGGAGCATGTGCCTCACTCACGTGACCGGGCGTGATGTGGTCAGTCCCACCCGTCTATTTCTGGAATGCTCTTTCCGGGACAACCCCAGTCCCTCCCCTCTGGCTCTCGGCTTAGCCCGGGGGTGAACCGCGTGCGTGGTTTCTGCTGCCCTCTCAGTCAGCGTGCACCTGGGCCGCTCGCCGTCCCCCTGGGCAGCGTGTCCCTTGACTGAGTGTGTGCAGGGTGCAGGATGGTGCTGTGGCTGGAAGACAGCAGGAAGCGCTGGCGGGGGAGGTTACCCCTGCCTCCAGCCGCAGGCTGTCCGGCTCCCCCTCCGTGGCGCTGGAGTCTCCAGCATGTGCTAATCTTTGCTTTTTACAAAGAGAGACCACGACCCCCACAGGGTGATTTTACTACTGGTTGAATTTCAGAAGCGTTGTTTGGTTTGAATTTCTTTACTTGCACACTCGGCTTCCACGAGTGCACGTGGTACTGGTTTTATGTCAGTGGCATTCGTGTCTTTTCAAACAAGCAGGTGAACACCCGGCGAGCTGGTTGAGTGAGAAATGCGGGCTAGAGAGAGGCGTCCTTGGCACGGCGGAGGGGCAGTCGGCCGGGACGGGGTGCCCTGCTGGCGGCGCCGGAGGCACTAACCCTGCGCTCCGATTCCCTCCCGACAGTGACCGAGAGCCGGGGCATCCTGGAGAGCATCCAGAGGTTCTCGCTGCTGCCCACCTACCTGCCCGTGACCTACCACGTGGACCACGCGGACGTCTCCTTCTTCCTGAAGGAGGCCGACCAGGATGTCATGCGCAACTCCAGCCTGCAGTCCCGCGTGGAGTCCTTCCTCGTGTACAAGTCCAGGAGGCTGCCGGTGCTCAGCGCCAGCTACGGGCCCTTCTCCGTGGAGCGCGTGGTGCCCCAGGACCTGCTGCTGCCCTCCAACCCCTTCCGATTCACCAGCGCCTTCTCCCTGAACTGGAAGCTGAACGCCTTCGTCCTGAGGGACAGGATCGACCTGAGCCGGCCGCAGGTGCAGGTCCTGTTCCACGTCGCAGGCCGGGACTGGCGCGAGCCCCGGGCCGGGGAGAGGCTGCCGTGCCTGCGGCTCTTTGCCTTCCGGGAGACCCGCGAGGTGCGGGCCGGCTGCCGGCTGGCGGGGCCGCTGGGGCTGTGTGTGGCGGAGCTGGAGCTGCCGCCCAGCTGGTTCAGTCCGCCCACGGTAGTGGCGGGCAGGCGGCGACCAGGGGATCCGGCCGAGGGCAGCCCTGTAGAGCTGTACTACACCATGCAGCCTGTGGACGCGCAGGGCAACTGTGCCAGGCAGGACTCGAGGAGACATGGCGAGCCGTGGGCAGGCCACGGCGACATGGACGAGTCCGGGCCGCCCCCACACAGGATCGGGAGTGTCTTCCTCTACCAGACACGGGGCCCACCCCCCCTGCGGGAGCTGCGCCTGGACAGCAACGTGGCCATTCATTACACGCCGAAGACCGTCAGGCAGGGCGACGTGCTCACCTTCCCCGTGTCCGTCTCCAGGAACTCCACCCAGGGGGACTTCACGCTGAGGTAAGTCAGCTCACATGTGTCCAAGTGTGCCTTGCGACCGCAGCTGGGCTGCTGCATCGGGAGAGGCGTCCGTCTCCACAGGAGGGCTGGTCCTCATGCAGTAGGAGTGGTCATCAGTAGGACTGGTCATCACACAGTAGGGCTGCTTGCCATGCAGTAGGAGTGGTCATCGGTAGGACTGGTCATCACGCAGTAGGGCTGGTCGTCACACAGGAGGGGTGGCTGTCACACAGTGGAGTGGTCATCGGTAGGACTGGTCGTCATGCAGGAGGGCTGGTCGTCACACAGTAGGGGTGGCTGTCACACAGTGGAGTGGTCATCAGTAGGACTGGTCATCACACAGTAGGGCTGCTTGCCACGCAGAAGGAGTGGTCATCGGTAGGACTGGTCGTCACGCAGGAGGGCTGGTCATCACACAGTAGGGGTGGCTGTCACACAGTGGAGCGGTCATCAGTAGGACTGGTCATCACACAAGAGGGCTGGCCATCACGCAGTAGGGCTGGTCGTCACATAGGAGGGTGGGCTGTCACGCAGCAGGAGAGGCCATCGGGTCGGACTGGTCGTCACACAGGAGGGCTGGCCATCACGCAGTAGGGCTGGTCGTCACATAGGAGGGTGGGCTGTCACGCAGCAGGAGAGGCCATCGGGTCAGACTGGTCGTCACACAGGAGGGCTGGCCTTCACCTCGCTGTGAGTCTGTCTTCACTTAGTACAGAGAGCTGTTGGGTCTTCCTGGGTTGGCCTTGCACTTGGGGAAGTCTTGTTCCTCACGGATGTTCCAGGCCGGGCGGCGTGCCGCCGTGGACGCCTCTGGCTTTGGCTCGGCTGTCATCAGTGGGGTTGGGGCCGCTGGGGCCGTCCCGCGGCGCCCCCTCTGAGTTGGCCCGTGGTGGCCACGGCTGAGGCTGCGCGGGAGATGGCAGCAGTCGCGGGGAGGGTGGCGGCTGTGGCTCTGCCAGCTCGGAGCTGTTCCCGACGTAGGATCTAAGTATAACGTGCCAGCAGCCTCAGCGTTACCATTCCGTTTCTCCCTGGAAATAGAAGCCGCGGCTCAAAAATAAGTGAGCACAGTGTGAGAGGGGCGCACGGTGCGTTTGCTGAGTGCCTTATGTAAGACGGTTCTGGCGACCAGGCGTTTAAACGGCTCCATGTGCTTTGGAAAGAAATGCGGGTGGGCCGTCTGCGGCAGGATGGCGAGGGCGCCGCTGGCCTGAGCCTGGCCGCGTGGTTGTTCAGGGGCTGTGTTGGGTTTGGCACGGGGGGCGTGGTGGCGCGTGCTCTCTGGCGTGTTGCTGGCTGGCCCCACGTGTCCGGAGGGGGCTGCACACTCTGAACTGGACTTGCCCTGCCATGAAAGGCACTTGAACCCTGGACGTGGGGGTGTGCTCCCCGAGACGTGCTGTCTGCGGGACCTCAGAGCTCCTCGGCCCCCAGCCCCTGTCTCTCGTGCCCCTTGGTCGGGGCTCAGGCTGCGGGGTCTGCCCTTGTGTTGGGGGAACGTCCAATGCGGCACTCTGGCCTTCTCCCTGAGGTTGTATTCCTTGTGACGTGGTCTCGGGAGTTCCTCTTGTGTGAGTTAGGGACAGTCGCGGATGGCTGTGAGGGCTGGGCTGAACGTGGCGGAGTTGTGTGACGAGGACGTTGGGCTTGGTTTGGTGTGTGTTGGGGGCAGCCACAGAGCTTCAGGGTGCGCAGACGCGGCTGTGGGGTGCAGGCTTCGGAAGTGTCCTTTCGGTCCCTCTTGGTCAGGGGCCTCTCCGGGCTCGCCCAGCAGTGGTCCCCCAGCTTCTGCAGTTGTAGGCACTGCTCTCTGTGCGGACAGCTGCCTGTGCCATGAAGGATTTGGCTGAGGGAGATGGAAGGTTTGTTCTCTGTGGTTCGGGCTTTCCAGCTACTGATTGCATGTTTCCTGGACCAGGGTTGGATCCAACATCCCCAGAGCGTTGCCTATCGGGACATGCCGTCCACTTCCACCCCTTGTGTGCTTGCAGGCTGTTGTGCACACACAACTGTGCCTGTTGCACTCCACACACTGTTGCGCACACACAACTGTGCCTGTTGCACGCCACACAGGGCCACGGGCTCCGGAAGGCAGGCTTCTCTTTGGCCATCTGCACCAAAACCCAGAGAAATTCTGCTGCCTCTGCAGCGCTTTGGGGGCCAAACCTTGCCAAGTTCCAACTCAAACACATTCGAAACATCTGGATTTGGTCAGCCATTTATAGGAAGATGGGAAGATAACGGATGTATAGCCAAAGTCTACTCATCATATTGGGAATGTCTATGAAAAAGAACAGTTTCCACATAGGGGGATGGTGAAATAAACATTTCACAGTGTGTGTTTAACTTGGTGAGATGCCGTGCCCTCTGGTTGCTTTAATAATGTGCTTCCCGCAAACGTAAAGTACTCTAATTATGAATGAGTCTGCTTGCAAAACCAGCCAGGGGCAAACTTGAACCTGGTGATGTTACTGGTCATTCGTCTGAATTCCCATAATTAGAAAATAATTCAACCGTACATCTTAAATGAAGTCAGTTTGATGCTCATTTAGCATCGATTCCAAATATTTAGCACCGGCCATCTGCTGTCAATGGCTCTGGAGTCTTCAGCCCATGCCCTTGGGGCCTCCCCGGCAGCCCCGCTCTCCGCAGACGTTCCGTGTTCACAGGGCAGCGCGGCGCAGCGGTGGGCTCGGCTTTTGTAGGTCAGGTGCCGGCAGGGCGTCCCTCACTGCCTGCTGGATGGCCGAGGTGGAGAGAGCCCTGCGGGAACTGCCAGGCCCGGGAGGGAGCAGGTCCCGTTCCTGAGTGGGGCAGCGCCGCCGCGCCTGGCGTTCTTTGTCGATGGTTGACCTGCGGCCTCCCAGATGGCCCCCGGTGCCTAGGAGGTTGGCCCCTGTCCTGGGGACCAGTGTTGTGGCACAGAGGAAAGATTGCTCTGTGTGTGCGCACATGTGCGTGTGTGCACATGTGTGTTCACATGCGTGTACACGTGTGTGTTCGAGTGTGTGCATTGTGCACCTGTGTGCATGTGTTCATGTGTGTATGCGTGTGCTTGTGTGTTCACATGTGTGTACACATGTGTGTGCATGTGTTCGCGTGTGTGCGTGTGTTCGCGTGTGTGTGCATGACTCACCCTTTGAGAAAAGAGCACCCGGTGGGCCCCTTTGTTATCTTACAAACGCGATCTCTGCTGCGCTTGTCTTCTGAAGCCGGCGTCCTCAGGGGGAGAAGAGCCAGCGCTTTCATTCCTCGGGCTCTGAGGTCCCTTTGAAATGCAGCAGTGTTTTCCTTCAAACCCCGGGGGACGCGGGGACCCTTCTTCCGCATCGGCCCCCTCGGCTCCTGTGCGGTTCCCTCCCCGGTGGACAGCGAGTTCAGAAGCGTCCTGGGCTCTCCTGATCCGGTCACGGGAGGACGTGGGCTCTCTCTTCCACATGTGCACCTGCTCCTCTTCCCCACAGCACCAGTCTCAGAGGGACTCTGCTCTTAGACCTGAGTAGGAGGTTGGAGCCAAATATCTGCATACATTGGCTCGGTTGTCTGACAGCCCAGAAAGCTCAGGAGGCCGGCCTGGGACATGGACCAGAGGGCGGGAGGCCGGCCTGGGACACATAACAGAGTGCAGGAGGACAGCCTAGAACAGGGACCAGAGGGCGGGAGGCCTGGGACATGGGCCAGAGGGCGGGAGGCCTGGGACATGGACCAGAGGGCGGGAGGCTGGGACATGGACCAGAGGGCGGGAGGCCTGGGACATGGGCCGCAGTGTGGGTGCGAGGGGACTGTCTCGCAGGAAGGGGCTCTGCGTCTGCTGAAGGAGGAGTGGGCAGAACGCGGCCTGCGGGGTGCACATCCCCCGCGCAGGTCTCTGAGGCTGCAGACGCCCAGCACCTGAGACCCGGCCGAGCACCTGGCGACTGCACGGTGACCAAACTGAAGAGCAGCTCCTACGTCCATTTCAAAAACTGTTATTTTTGCACAAAAATATGCATCCTGCAGTTCCACTTTCCATGAACTTTAAAAAGTTATATTTTTGAAAGGTAGAGAGGCAGGCAGAGCTGTCTCCTCCACTGGTTCGCTTCTCAAACGCCCACAACAGCCAGGGCTGGGCCAGCCAGAAGCCAGGAGCTCCACCCAGGTCTCCCACGTGGGTGGCAGGGACCCGAGCTCTGCCTCCCCGGGTGGGGTGGAGAACAGGGCCGGCACTCAAGCGCGGGCGTCTGATTTGGGACGCAGACGTCGCGAGGGGCGGCTTCCCCTCTGCACCAGTGCCTGCCCCGAGTCCCACGGGCTCTTTGCAGGCCCTGTAGGTTGGGGATGGGATGCGAGTCCTTGACTTTAGCTCCTTGTGAAGGTGACGGAATTGGCATTGACGTGCCCCCAGTAGCCCCCTGCCTCCTTTTCTGAGTATCCACTGGGGATGGCACTCACCTAGGGCTGCGTGAGCCTTGGCTGTGACGTCAGAGAGGACACCGCCCTCTGTGACGTCAGAGTGGACGCCACCCTCCATGATGTCAGAGTGGACCCCGCCCTCACTAGCCGCCCTCTGTGACGTCAGAGTGGACATTGCCTTGCCAGGAGTCTGAGGGGAGCCAGCAAACGACGCCAGGTGTGTCCAGCTGTGTCCAGGGCAGCCTGTGAGGAGTGGTTTTCTCTTCTCTCCAAGATCACCCTCTCGGAAGCTGACAGGAGGCCGGGGAGAAGAGCTCCCGGCCCATCTGATGGGGGAGCAGCTGGAAGCAGAGCGAAGCAGGGTCAGGCAGGTCACCGCCTCCTGCCGTTCCCCAGGAAGTGGAGGGGCAGCTGGCAGGTCCCGCAGGAAGCAGCGTCCAGGAAACAGCCAGGGAGGGGCCCGAGTGTGGGGGCAGAGGGCGCCCCTTTCTGTGTGGGACCTGGCTTTGCTGGGAGTGAAGCCTTCAGCTGGGGGAGGGTCTCCTCCATCCCTGGGGTCCATTCTGGTGTCGTCACGGGACAGGGGGAGTCGGCGTGGCCTCTGTTTC